TGATCCAGGGTTTCCGCGGATCATTAAAAATAATTACAATTCACAAATTTTTTCATTAATTTCATTTAAAAAATGTCATGAATTTTTATAATTTTTTTTTTGGATTTCGGAGTAACAATAAACATATACCGAACCGAACCGAAAACCGTGACCATGAAACCGTGAACCGAACCGTGGATTTTGTGAACCGTTCCACCCCTAATATGTAATCACCTGCAATTTTAACTCAGCAATTGCAAAAATTAGCATTCTTAAATTTGGCAGAATGTTGACATTGTTTTGCGCACATTTGTAATGGAAAGGCAGTTGATTATCTTGTAGGCCCTACCCCCCGACACATTTGTACCCTTTTCACACTGACTGAAAAACCCGGGAACAATCGGCTTTTAGTGGCAGCAGGAACAGCTCACTGACACGTGTCTACCCGGGTCAAACGACTCAGCAAGCGACCCTCAGCTCTAATCGGCATGCAGTGGGAACATCAGAGCAGAGTTGACCCAATAAACTGCGTGACACCATTGAACGCAACGCACCCACCTCAACACACTGCCGTCTAACAAGCCGAAACAACTCTGTTTATATCCGATGAACATGCTACTGAAAAATAAGGAATACTGAATAAGCTCTGGCTCCCGTCCATGTTGCTCTCCATTATTTACCTTCTGAATTCTGACGCACTGTTGCTCGCTCGGCGTGATGCCGTCATCAGACGTTCAGTGGTGTGGGGGACAGTGGCCACGCAGCCCAGGTGGTCAGACTTGGTTTTTAGGTCAAATGCTAAAAGAGCAAAAAAAAACGGATGTTAACGGTTCAACCTGGTTTTGAGAAACCCATTTTTTTTCAGTGGGAAAGAGGCTTTAGTGTCTCTTCACCTCATGAGGGGTTCTGACCCCCATTTTGGGAACCTCTGCTGTATTGTAGATTATGTTGTTTTAGATTTTGTATTCTAGATGTAGGGTTATTGATTTTGCTTAGTACAATTTGAGTTAAAAAGAAATGTTTATGGTGTAAATAAACGTATTTATCTATTACTTTTTACAGAATTTCACCATAATCTACATTAAAATGGGCTACCCTCGGCTAGAGGTGGCAAAACAATGTGAGCTGGCCCCGACCCTCATCACTGCCATGGAGGGCAAGCCCCAGCCACAACAGGACAGGTGAGGGAACACTTATCCTCACATACCGATCTAGTGGACGACTCCTACCTTCTAGAGTGGATCATAAAGTCGTACCCACCTCAGTTACAAACGCTGGCTTGTTGTGATGAGAGAATGAAAAATCATGTCAGAACTTTAAATGCTGAATATCCCGAACAAAGCAACAAGGAAAAAAACTGTCAATGGGAAAGTGCATGTTTATGTATAGTCGAACATTAAGCTAATACATTTTGATTTAATTTTTGCATTTTAGTCGACCTAAAAACACGCTGGCCGTGCATTGTAGCTAATCTAATCCACCTGGAGGAAAGTTCAGTGATGCCAGTTGGGTTTTACTGACATTAACATCTGTCTGTGCTAACCGTAGTTTGTAGAGAGGCTGCAAATGTCATAAACAAAAAGAGAAACTTTCAGGGTAAATCTTGTTATTTATATTTTAATATTAAAGGAAAATATGGGACACCTTTTACATTTTAAAACTGGAAGGTTATTTAAAATGAATGAAAAGATAAGAGGAACTGGGTTGGACCCCTGAAGCAAAAAACAGAATCGGGTCAACATCAGCAGCGGGCGTCTCAAAAGGATCTGCACCTACACACTGAATCATGACATCATCATTTTTATTGTTCTCCAAATGTATAAAAATATGAACTGCTCCAAATATCAGTGTTGACTCAGTCAAAGTGTTTGCTAGAAACATTCAGATTAAGACTTGCAAAAAATTTTCAATGTCACAGTTCATCCGAAACAATGACTTATGTGCATTATGGGCTACTTCAAGTCCAGAACTGAATCCCTGATTAGCTTAATAGAGCTGTGGACCAGAAATGTCCTCTCAATCTGACGGATTTGGAAAGAACCTTTAAAAGTTAGAATGGATCACATGAAGAATGCTGCATAACTCTATCCATTAAAGTGTTTACTTAAGACAGCAGGTTATTGCAGCTTTTTATCTATAGTAAGAAAATGTGCATCGTGAAAGTTTGATGTTCTCTCATTTTTACACAGAGGTCTGGCTCTTAAGTTTCCTCTCCATATTATTTTTTTCAGCCTCATGCACCTGTTGATCCCAACGCTTTACCACATGAAGTATTCAGCTGATGCATCCAAAGGTTTGTCTCCATTTAACTTAACCGAGAGGCCAAAGACGATGCACCTTCTACTGGAATTCATGCTGGATGTTTTGCTCATGCCTTATGGGTGAGTTACCTTTTGTTGATTTGTCAAAAGAAACACGCGAGTGAAAATTGAGGTTTGGAAAGGATTGTTTCACTTATGTGTGTCTGAATTTCTCTTTCACTCTCTGTTTCTCTTTATTTCTTTCTCTCTTACTTACTTATCATTAGGTTTGTGCTGAGCGAGTCTCCCACTCGGCCCACTCCATCCTCCTCCCAGGGAGGTTCATCGGATGGGGCGGGTGCTGGAGGTGGACAGGGTCTTCCCCAGCCTCCCCCAGGGCTGAGTGTCTATGCTGCGAAGAGGGTGATTGGAGAAGCCCAGTGGAACGCAGAGCAGCTGGAACAGGTACGATAACTCGCTCAAAGCATCACATTTGCTCTGCCTGAGCAGAGAATTTGTTCACAGTGGAAGCAGAATATTTGCCAAAGAAAGGGTCGACAAAGACCCTTTAGCATGCCACGACAGTTATATTCAGTATTGCATCGACCTGTCCAGCCATCATAGCGTTCAGGAAACAAATGGGATTCCTGATGGACAGTGAGTCTAACCACACAAGCAGATTAATTAGAAAGAGGCCTAAGAGCAACAAAGCTGATTTCAAAACCCTGATTTCAGTGCTGCAGAAAAAAAATTTTTTCTGACAAACCTGGTCTAAAAAACTGACTCATTTACACCAAAAGAATAAAAGTGGATTTCATAAAACTATACTGTGAGAAGGTTTTGGAAGGATATAATGTTTGGAGGAGGCCATAAAATTGTTAGTGAAGTGTCCCCAAGTACAGTTGATCGTGTTGATGATGATAATGGTTAAGATCTTCCTCTAACATTCTTGCATATAGAAAATTTAAAATATTGTATTTTTCTGGTCTATAAGCCGCTACTTTTTTCCCAAGCTTTAAACCATGCGGCTTATAGAAAGGTGCGCCTTTCCTTTTGATTTTTCTGAACCGCTAGAGGGGGAAGTCAAAGTTGGAAATGAATATGAGGGGCTAATATTTGTTTAAAGAAAAAAACATGCTAGCAAAAGGCTAAGTGGAGAACGAATGCCCTGAATTCACACATTTTCACATTTATTTGCCGCATAAAAGCTGTCGAACCAATGAAGAGACTGGCCTCAACTCCTGCAGAGCTGAAATAAAGAGCTGATGAAGCCCCATCTTTCAGCAGAAGCTCTTACTGCTGCGAGCTAACAAGCTAACGGGATCTAGAATTGTTTTTCATCGCTACTCTTGGGGCTTCATGTAGAGCTCCCCCTACAGGTTTCCTGGTAGACAGTTCAGTAGATATCAGCGGCTTATATATGTATGTTTCCATTTTTTTCCCCAAAGAAATTTAGGGGGCACGGCTTTGAGTGAGGTGCCCTCCATAGTCCGGAAAATACAGTGCATTTTTGTAGTTTTAACTTACCTAAAAAAAAAAGTTTGGTCTGATGTAATTTTTTTTTTTTTTGTTGTTTTTAGTACATGTCCATATTTGGGTCCATTATTTTTATATATATATATATATATATATATATATATATATATATAGCCCCACAGATATCAGACACTACCAGTTTAATTCAACCATAGATTTATCTGAACCATGGACCTTCTGTCTAACTCATTTTGTTGTTCAACAGTGTAAGCTGGGCATAGTGAAATTCATCGAGGCCAAACAGGTGCCTGAGGTGGAGTCGGTGGTTCATTTGGCAGTAGCTTCAAGCGACACCAGACACAGTGTGGCCACAGCAGCCGACCTGGAGCTGAGGAGCAAACAGAGGTAGACTGTAAAGAAACGGAAAAATTAAGGAATTAAAATGATTACCTTCTGTTTCCTGTTGGTTTCTGATGTAAATAAGATGGATCTGTTTACACATGAAAAAGTTAGTTTTATTTATTTCCTGATTTCTTGTTTTTTTTTATTTTTTTTTTTTTTATTCCAGCATCATTGACTGGAACAATCCTCTTATTATCAACAAGCTGTTTAAGGTTTATCTGGGAGATGTTCCTCTTAAATCAAAGGTTTGTAAGCTTTCCTGGAAGAGAAATTAAAGATGTCAGTACAAAAACAAAAAGGTAAAATGTTCCTGTTTGTTGTGCAGGGTGGGAATATCAAACAGGAGCTAAAACATGAACCAGTGAGTACGAGAGTCAAACTAAAGATCCTGCCACATCTTCTACGCTCTCGCCTGGCAGCAGAGTGCTTCCCAGCCAACATCCAGGTTATATCCACTCTTCCAGCTTTTAGAAAGTCTATCACTGTCTTTGCACTGGTTTTCATATTTTCTGTCAGATGTAATAATGTCTTTACTGATTTGCTTTTTGCTGCAGGTTGTTTATGACGGTCTTTTTGGGGCCAACACCAACAACAAACTGTTGTCTCTCACATTACAGTTTGTCCATCATATCTGCATGGTGTAAGACAGCTACGCTTTATCTCTTAGCACCTGACCTGTTTTCTCCCATTTCAAAAAACAAAATCAAGGCTAATGGTTGTTTTTGTCCTACAGTTGCCCCGACACCAACAAGCCTTTAGGACTAATGCTCCTCAATGGTCTGACTAAGCTCATCAATGAATATAAAGAGGTATTTCAATACCAGCATTTAAGCTGTTATAATTCCTTATTTAAAACTAATGTTAAAAGCAAGGAAACTACGTTTCCTAGCTAAATTGTCTTTAGACAAATATTTAAATTTACAAAACTATAATTTTCCTCACAAAGGGCTATATTAGCAAATGGAACTAAGCAAAGCAAGGCATGTTTTTTTTTTATATAGCACAATTGATTACAAAGACAAATTAAGTGCTTTACATGAATTAGTAAATAAAATATAAGGAAAATAAAGGCAAATATAAACATGGTAGAGGCAGGTAGTAAAACAAAACAAAAAAATGAAACAGCTGTACAACAAATCT